TCAATTAAACTCTCTTCCTGTACCTCCAACTTGTCTGGTTACAACTACGTTTGTTAGTCCACCCATTGTAAAGCGCTACGGAATTTGTTGGCCCTATATAAAAATAAAAATAATCACATGTGTGCTAATGTTATTTTTTTTCTGTTTAACAGTTTGTTTTTAACTCTTTGAGTAAGTCTTTTCAATATATAATAAATGTGACACTATTATTCCAGGATAAACATTAAAAGCACAAAAAAAAAAAAAAAAGAGTACATTAAAGCAGCACTGGCACCATCTGGGACCTTGCAGAATTTGCAAAGACACTGAATAGTGACATCGCTGCTGGGGGTCTAGTGACCAGGTGGTGGTTGGGGTGTGGGCAGTTAAAGGTGACTCCTACTTACCAGAACTTACCTAGAAGTGTCAGGCGTAGGAAATATAGAGAGACAAAGTAGTCCCTACTTTGTTTCAGTATATCTCTTGACTGGATTACAATAGGACACAAGGGCCCTGCTCAGTGCTCAGGTTTTCAGCCTACAGTTTCTGTAACGTATCCAGAAGGCAAGAATGAATTCCGGGTGCACAATTTATGGCCAACTATAGAATTTATACAGAATTATATTATATACAGTGACCAAGGTATGATGTGTTTCTGGGAGAGGAATTACACGGTACGTTGATGTGGTTTAATAGAGACATGGACTTCTTTTGATACGGAAAATATTTTGTCTACCAGCCAGTTGAGAAGGAATACGTGGCTTACCCCATGCTCCAGCTATTTTAAATCTTGGTTTTGAAAAGGATATGTTTACTGAGAGCCTAGGAGTGTAAGCTAAAGTATGAATTTTTGGGAATTCATATCTGTCTTGAAGAATTTTCCTAATGTGACTGCCCTAACTTATTTCAGAGGATGCTCGTAATATAAGCTCTATTCGCTAGTGGCTAATGTATGTGGGAGGAATTTTCCCCGAACATAGATTTTTGGGATTCCATACTCTTGTAAGCTAATCTATATTTGGGGACGTTTCCCCGAACATCGATTCGCGGGATTCCATACTTTAGTGAACTGGTCAATGTTCAGGGGGAATGCGACCTGCTTTCTAGCACATGCTTGCTACCATTTTTCCCCAAAATAAGACATCCCCCGAAAGTAAGCCCTAGTTAGTTTTTTCAGGGGAAAATGAATACAAGCCCTGGTCTTCTTTTTGAGGAAAGACAATATATGTGCCTCCCTTCCTCAATCAGTATCCATTTTTCAACTGAAATATTGCCTTTCCCCCTGCAACAATGCCAGGCCTTATATTCTTCCTCCATGAGAATTCCTCCCCTTATCCTCCCCGTCCACACATTTGTTAGTTTTATGCTCCCACCTCTTCGGGCATGTACCAAAGCTCAAACAATGTTTCGCTATGAAGAGCATTTAATTGGCCAAAATATAGGATAACTTGGCCAGACACTGTATTTTATTCTATTTTAACAATTTTCACATATGAAAACAGGGGTGTGGCAGGGACACCTAAAGTAAATATGTGTAAAGAACTTTAACTATTAAAAAAACAAAGACCTGTTGGAGTAGCCCTTTACTATATCCAAACTTTAAAAGTTCCATTTGTAATTAAAATTGTTTTAAAAAGCAAATCTTGTATATTATTTACTGAGTAAGCTGTACATTTATTTCAAGCAATATACTTTTATACACACTGCATTTTATCTTTCACTGTAGCAAAATAAATTTCAATTTGTATGAGTACTTCGCTCAGCGATGTTTTTTACAATTCTTAAAAAATTTCCATTTTTAAATCTTTAAATAACTAATTTTGGCTGAACAATGCTGAGCCTTTAGGAAGAAAGCTTATAAGATAAAAGTCGGCTTGTTCTTCCTCTGACAATACCCTATAAACATGATGCATTTTGGAAAAAATATAAAATAACATATTGACAAATTCTAATATAGAAGATAGTTATTCTGCAATAACACATGGAAGTTTCCCCCCCCCCCTTAAAATGTTATGTGAACCACACATGCACCAACGAACCAAAAAGAAAAGCAAGAGAAAAGATGGTGGGATGTTTGTTCTAAACTATATACCCAGGAGGAATAAAAATTGTAAGATTTTATGTTCAGATTGCTAGTGTAGAATAATTTTCTACTTCACTGTAAGAATGTCATATTTTACTCTCCTGGGACAACATGGACAGATATTTCATGATTATCTGTCAAGCAAATAAATCAAAAATAATTATATATTTATTTTACATTCAGATGATTGTATAATACTTCTAACCATCTAATTATCCCTGAGACATTTCGTCTTCCAATATTTCAAGACTAGTACCATTTCTGAAACAAATTAAAAGGAAAATGGCAAAAATCTGAATATGCATGAGTTTCTGGTTGCCTGGAATTCCCGTTCCCCAGTTATGAGCAAATGTTGATGTATTGAGCAACGGTTAAGGTGTTTTATTGAGCAATAAGCATTAGAAGCTTATTATCTATATCTGCGTGTCCATCTTGCTAACATCAGCTATCTTGTAAGATCTTCCTTAAACCACTGTTTTATACTCTCACATGTGATTGTGTGTGAATAAATCGGCATCTGGTAGCCTCACTCAAAACTAAAAGGTCAATGCCCCCAGATCACTATATTGAGATGAAGTGGTCCTTCGATTGTTTAGCCTATTGTACAGCACTGCAGAATATGTTTGTGTTACATATATAATTGTAATAGTAGCTCTGTTTTTATATCCTTTAATTTTGTCCATTAAAGCTGTATGCCCAACCACAATTCTTGCACTAAATGTTCTCCTATCCTGACCTTGTACAGTCACTAATCATTGATTTCTATGACAGATATGTACAGCAGCCACCCTTATGTGTCGTAGAGTCATTCATGAATAATCATTTAGGTGATCGGTTACTATCAGATACTGAGCTACAAATGGACACACATGGTGTATTTTATTTTTATTAATTGAAAAGCAAAAATAAATAAATATTCTCTCATGCTATTTTCTGCTTGCTGTACACAGTTTCACATTTAACTAAAAATAGATTTCCGTTTTTGTGAGCAGTCGGCTTTTCTGTGGCTGAACACCTCCACTGGGAATCGATCAAGGTAAAGCAAATTCATTCAATACTCAGTACACAGACTGCAGGCCTCACAATCAATTGTTCTCATCAAGTTTCACAGGTTGAATTTCATCAAATTCAGTGTCCAATCAGAACATTTCACAAAAACATGCTTTCACTGTATTCCCAAATCAAATTCAGATTTTATTGTTTGCATGTTACAAGGGACACTATAGGCACCAGAACCACTATAACTTAACGTAGTGGCTCTGGGATCTAGAGACTGTGTCTGCAGGCTTAATGCTGCCTTTTTTGAAAAAGTGCAGTGTTTATACTGCTGTCTAAGACTGCTAGAGGGACATCTTGGGTTCGGACCTACAAAGACTACAGGACTGATGTTCAGTGTCTCCACACTCTCCATGAAGATGTGGAATGCTCCCCATAGATATCCACTGACTCATTAAGATGTTAATTAACTAAGCATGGCAATTTTTATTAATTGAAAAGCAAAAATAAATAAATATTCTCTCATGCTATTTTCTGCTTGCTGTACACAGTTTCACATTTAACTAAAAATAGATTTCCGTTTTTGTGAGCAGTCGGCTTTTCTGTGGCTGAACACCTCCACTGGGAATCGATCAAGGTAAAGCAAATTCATTCAATACTCAGTACACAGACTGCAGGCCTCACAATCAATTGTTCTCATCAAGTTTCACAGGTTGAATTTCATCAAATTCAGTGTCCAATCAGAACATTTCACAAAAACATGCTTTCACTGTATTCCCAAATCAAATTCAGATTTTATTGTTTGCATGTTACAAGGGACACTATAGGCACCAGAACCACTATAACTTAACGTAGTGGCTCTGGGATCTAGAGACTGTGTCTGCAGGCTTAATGCTGCCTTTTTTGAAAAAGTGCAGTGTTTATACTGCTGTCTAAGACTGCTAGAGGGACATCTTGGGTTCGGACCTACAAAGACTACAGGACTGATGTTCAGTGTCTCCACACTCTCCATGAAGATGTGGAATGCTCCCCATAGATATCCACTGACTCATTAAGATGTTAATTAACTAAGCATGGCAATTTTCTGCGCATGCGCACTAGCCTCGCAATGATTCCCAAAGGGGAAGCATTGGATTGGCTAAGATCAACAGGATTGCTGATCTCATCTGAGAGTTTCGGGAAAGCTGTTATATAGGCTTGGTTGGGGCCCTTAAAACGGCTAACTATTGTCCACATTTTGGGTCATTTGTTTCAAAGGATGCACATGTGTCAATAAGATGTTGTGGACTGTAACTCTCAGACAAATCCTGATTGAGAGCAAAGTAGAATTAACCATAAGGGGACCCTCGGTCGGCTGCCTAGAGCCCATGGGTTAGACAGGGGCCTAAGAATCATTAAGCTACTTGATCCCATTAAAAATCGCTATTTGAATAATAAAGGAGAGTAGCCAAGCCGGTAACCTGCCCATGGCCACATGGAATCTCAAAGCGACACTGTCACCGTCTGGGGACTTTGTAGAATTCACATCACCTCTGGGGGTTCGTTGCCCGGGGGGGGGGGGGTTAGGTAAATGTGAGATTTACTAATCTGGACCCATCTCTCACATGCACCGCCATCTTCCTCCAGCAGGTCCTTTTCAGCGCCAGGAGCTGACACCACAGCTGAACTCTCACCCATGCACGAGAGTACAGCATTGAGGTCTATGGAAGATCCTGCAAGATCCTTCATAGACAGAGCCAGTGGCGTACACACAATACATGGGGCCCCGGTGCGAAACTGATCTGTGCCCACCCCCCCGACACATACAAACACAGAGGCACACACACATACACACAGACAGACACACACATACATATACATACAGCACATAGACACATAAACACACACACACATACAGTATGTTTGTGTCTGTATGTATGTGTGTGTGTTTGTGCGTCTCTATGCATGTCGGTCTGTGTGTGTGTGTCTCTGTATGTATGTGTCTGTATGATACAGACATACATACAGAGACACACACAAACAGACAAAATGTTTAAGTCACCCTCCTGTTTCCTACATTTTGCAGGAGGGTGACTTCCCTGGGGTCCAATGTGGGCTCAGCCTGATGGGAGTCAGAGTCCCCACTCTGACTCCCTCTTCCTTTCTCCCGCGCGGCTCTCTGATAGCTGGGAGGAGTGACGCGCAGTCACTTCCTCCCAGCTATGTCTGACATCATCACAGGGGGCCCGGTCGCGCTGTTAAAGCGCCCAGCGCTGACCGGGCCCCCTGACAATCCATTTCCATGGGATGGCTCTGACAGCATGGGCCACCCGATGGACCCCTTGGAGGGCGGCCCCGGCGGTTTGCCGCGTGGGCCGGGGCAGGGCCGGCGCTACCTGTAAGGCGGACTAGGCAGCCGCCTAGGGCGCCCCTTGGGAGGGGGCGCCGCCAGGAGCGCCGGCCCCGCTCATCCTGCAGCCGCCCGAGCGCTCTGTAAAGAGCCTCAGGCGGCTGCAGCTTTGCCCGGGCGGTGCGTCCATGAGGGCGGACCGCACCGCCCGGGCGCAGCCTGAGGAGAGGCTGACAGGAGGGAAACGCTCAGCGCTCCCACCTGTCAGCTCCCTCTCTGTAGCGTGG